CGCGGCGCGAGGCGCAGGCTGGCGGCGGCGGCTGGCGGCGGCTGGCCAGGGCCAGCGACAGCTGAGCGGGCGGCCCCAGGCGGCGGGAATGGCCCGCCCGCGGCGGCAAGGCAGCTAGCTGTCGGGAGGTTCGGGGTTGCCCTGGCTTCGGCCGAAAACCCCCCGCTCCCTTGGGGCGCGCCCCCGCCCCACACTCACCGCGAGCGCGCGGGGGGGTCCGCACTGGCCGCAAGGAGACGCGGCAGCCTGCACCGGACAGGTCTGGACGCGCTCGGGTCGCCAGGACATTGAAGCTTCCAGCGTCGACCTTCTACTTCTGGGGCACGTCGATCGCAGGCTCGTCCTTGGTGTAGGGCACTGGACCCATCGTGCTGCTCTTCGTCGGGCTGTACTCCTCCGTCTGGCCAACATACTCTCAGCGTAGCGCTCCCGGTGCCCTGTTGCAGGCAGAAGTCGCCAACATCCCACTGTGCGAGGACGACACCAAGAAACGTCAATGGAGTTGCCTTCGACAGGAACGCCTCCTCGACCAGCTTCCAAAACGATCAGAGCGCGCTCAAAAACGAGTCGCACACCGAGCGCATCCTGGCGACGGGGCGCCGGTCGCCCACGCACACCACCATCACAGCTAGTACTCGTTTTTTGACGTCAGTCTCGTCCTACAGGTGCAGCAACTCGACCCCCTCGCCCATCCATATGGCAATCTTGCGTCCGGGCCATCCGCCCGGATACTCGGTGACTTTCGCAAGGAAAAGAACACCGCCGGAGACCAGGATCAATGGGCGCCCGCCCCAGACAGTCCCAAGCGCGCCCATAGAGCCGGGGGGGGCGGGGGGGGGGGCCACAACGAGCGCGTCCTCGGACAAGGGCGCGCAAGGAGGAGGCGCACCTGCTCGCGCCCCGGCTGCGCAGGGAGCTCCGAGCGTCAGCGCAGCAAGCTGCGAGGACGGCTCTGCCCGGGCGCTCCAGGACTGTAGCTTCGGGCCCAGTTCGGCGAAGTTGCTCTTGGACCACAAGTACGCCATCGACAGCGGCCGCCGACGCGCGCGAAGCTCGCGCGGGAGACCCCCTGGAGGAGGACGTGACCAGTCAGCTGCGCCTCCGCCGCAAGCTCCCCATTCATCTCGGACACGCTGCGCGACCTCCTGAGCCTGAACGATAATTATCCCCGGCCACGCGTCGATCCACTGCTGCAGAGCCTCCTTACTCAGCGAGTCGACGTCGCTTTTGGCTGCGGCCGCGACACCGAGGAACTGGGGCATAACCCGTCGCCCACTTCTCCCGCCGACGATTCTCGACCCCTTTCTCCCGCACGTGCCGCCAGCCACGCTGGGAGATTCTTCTCCCGCACCTCATCGCCGCCCGCCTGCTCCCGAAACGCTTCTGGGTCAATCTGCTCCGCTTCGTCCTCGACCTCCACGTCGTGCCCAATCGACACTGCGCGACTGCCAACCACCCGCAGGTCGTCCATCTCCCACCTCGCGTCCATGGCAATCGCGGCGTCTGACGGCACGACGCCAGGGAGCCCCTCTGGCGCCTCCACAGGCGACCGCGCCCAACGTCGCCATGCACGCGCGCGGCTGCTCGCGGAAGGCGCCAGGCCATCAGCGCCCTCGGCCCTAGGCGCTGGCATTTGAAGCCATGGGCAGCTGATCAGTGTGAGCCCGACTGCCTACTGACTCTTCTCGGGGGGGATAGGAGACTGGCTGCCGGGACAATCGCTGCACTCGTTCCTTCTCCTCCGGGCGCCACAGTCCGAGGACCCCGAGACAGAAGGAGGCCCCAAGGAAGCATGGGTGCCTGCGCCACGCGGCCACGCGCGCCCTGCCCTGCAGCTGCGCTACGCGCCGCCGCTTGGGACCCTCGGGAACTCCGGCTGGGGCGGGCCTACTCTGAGCACCGCGAGAATTTCAAAGTGATCAAATATCCGGAAAGGAATGCACAGGGCCAGCGCGCGCGGCAGCAAATATCTCGTGGAGAGGGCCACGACGCATGACCACCCGCGCGGGCCACAGCTCCGCTGGGCACATCCGGGGTGGAGCTGCTTAGCCCCGACTCCCGCCACGGTCCACCCAGCGCACCGCCTCCACTGGCCAGGAGCAGTGGACACTGTAAGGTCTAAACGCGGCAACAAACCCACCACGGGACCCAACTAGTGACGAGGCACGGCTCAAGGCACACCTGCCCAGAGTCGCTTCCTGCGATTCTGGCGCGCGCGAGGGGCGCGCGCGGGGCGCAGGCATGGCGCCCTCCAGGGGGCCACGGGGCCCGCGCGCCGACGCTCGGAGCACGGGGAGTGCTCCGGGCGAAGGGGGGCGCCCACCGGACCCAGGCCCGCCACCAGGCCTCTGGACGCTGGCTGGGCGAAGGAGACGAGCGCGGGGAGGCGGGAGACGAAGGGCGAGCCCGCCGAGACCTCGTCACCACGGCGGGCGCGGAGCGAGAAACTCGGTCAGGAGAGGGGCCCTTCCAGGCCGCGAGCTGACAAAGACAACCACGACCACGACTACGACTAAGCACCCAACGACACGACTTGCCCGAGACCCCGTCCGCTTGAACCCCTTCCGCCACCTGGCTCAAGGCGAGCACAGCCTCACACCTGCCCCGCCGCCCGAAGACGCAGACAGCCGACCCAGACTCACAGACCCACCGGTCGACTTCCAGACGCTCAGACTCCGCAGCGCTGGGTATTCGCCTTGGCCCACTCGGTGCGACACGAGGAACCACCGTCGTTCCAGACGCCGCGCCGAGAAGAGGGAGAGAGCGAAGAGAGAGGCACACGCCTACCACGAACATGCCGAGACCATGCGGCAGCAGGAATCTTTCTCCAGGCGACAGACCAACCTCGAGGACCGGTTCTACCTGAGGCGGCACGCGACGCGGGGCAGCGTAAAAATCGAAGAGCGATACACCACGCAGCCCGACTTCCAAGCTCACAACACCGACCACGACTCATCCACACCAAGCACGCGAGACTGTATCCAAAAGCTCCTGCGCGCGCTCCTCGGACCCAACACGAGACCGGACTACACAAACGAGGGCGCAATGGCCGTCATGATGCAGGCCGGGGTGGGGACGCTGGAGACAGACAGCCCGACCCTGCAGCCGAGCGCACGCCAACGCGCCCGCCAGCGGAAGAGGAACGCTGCCGAGCCAACGCCAGCAAGGGGACCGCAGAGCGTTGCCAACACGAGGCTGCCACTGCCGTCCAGTGGCAGCCCACGATGCTACCACCGCGCCCTGCCCGCGCCGGGCCGACAAGGGCAACGCAGAACTGCTGCTACCGCCAATGCCCCCCCGCCACCCTTGCTCACACCGGCAGCCCCGCAGCTCCCAGAAACGGGGGCCACCGCTTCTACCTGGCGCGCAAAGGCGAAGAGGGCAAGCCCTCGCACCAGAGCCGCGCGCAAACGGGCGGCCGCAGCAGGAGAAGCAGCAGAAAGCACCCTGCACCAGCAGAGCGACCACCGCGACCACCAACACCACGCGCAGCAACACCAGCGCGACCAGGAACACCGCAGCGGCAACAACGCCCACGACCGCGACCAGCACCACGCGCAAGAACACCAGCGCACAGCACAACGCAGCGACCAAGACCACCACGACCTGCACCACCACGAGCAGCAGCACCAGCGCAACCCCTCCAAAAGCTGCCGCGACGCGCGATGGGGTTACCGAGGCGTTCGAGTGGGCGAGGCCAGCCACCCAGGACCTCCAGACGCACCCGGGGACAGCCCCCGAACACCGCGCCCGAGACACACGACGTCACCACCAGAGTCGCCAGAGCACGCACCCGGCGGCGCGGCGCCAATCCCGTCGCAGGAAGAGACCCCGCCACGGGCGCTGCTCCAGCTACAAGCCGCAGGGTCTCAGCTTGGCGCGCCAGCCGTGCCGGACCACTTTGGCGCCGTCTTCGGGGGGGCGCCAGAAGGCGGATGGAATTTTGCGGGCTTATTCGCCCCGCACGGCGACAGGCAGGGCGAGGCAGCAGTAGCGGCAGCAACAGCGCGGGAGGAGCCGGACCGACCACCAGCGCCGGCAGAAGATGCCAACATCTGCGTCGTCTGCCAGGAAGTGATCGCACACCAAGGGGTGGGCAGGGACACACCAACACAGGAGGCATGCTGTGGCGCCCACTTCCACTTGGGCTGCCGCGCCGACTTGGCCCGCCACCTTGGCGAAGCCACCACTTGCCCGCAGCGCCGAGCCAGACTTCCGACCACCGCCGAGTCACGGGCACGGTGCGCCGCGTAGGGCGTGGACATAGTGACATAGACCGACCGCCGCCCCCGGCCCACGACACCAGCGCCCAGGCCGCCCCAGATTACAATGGGTTTCGGAGCTACGCGCGATGCGAAGAACCACCACCACGGGAGCCACCGCTGCTCCGAGCGCTCTGCTGCCGACGTCTCGGCCCACCGCCCGAATTCTCCGAAGTGCCAGACCGCCGCGTGGAAAGGTCCCCAGAGATCGCTGCGCGAGACACCAACGGGATGATCACACAGTGGCTCGAGCCATGGCTTTGCCCACGCTGCGGGGCGCGCTGCGCTGTCGACACGATCGCGCCACAGGGCGGCCAACAGATGTGCGCGAGGTGCCTAGAGCAGGGCACGTGGACCGCGGAAGCCAGCACGGCCGAAGGCGAATGGAGGTGCGCTTTGCGCGAACCAGACGCATGGACCAGAGAAGCGCCTTCTGCCCCATCACCAGCCCTGCCAGGGCCAGAGCCACCACCACCAGCCCCCCCACCAGGGCCAGAGCGAGCCGCCACGAGGCCGCCACAACACAGCCCTTTCGCCGGCTGGGCCCCACCGCAAGCGCCCCTCCAGGCACGCACCAACTCGGCAGTGCACGCGCCCCTGCTGCTAGCGGCCGCCGGGCTTTTAGACCCAAGCGAAGGGGCGCAGTGGAGTGAGCACCGCCTCACACAGGCCTAGTGGCAGCCGACGGTAGAGACGTTGCGGCTTGCAGGACCTGTACTAACAGGGCCCTTTGTCCAAATGCTGGCGTACACCGACGCTCGGCCCGGGGAAGTACCAGCGGTGCTTGCTGCAGACGGAGGAGAGCGCCCAGGGCACGCATCCTTTGCGCCAGTCGCCCAGGCCGTGGCGCACAGCAGCACCGGCTACATACAGCCACTGGTGCAAGACCTCCCCCTCGAAGCATTCGGCGGCGGCGTGCTTGCACGAGGAGTTGACGCACGCACAAACGAGCTGCGCAACCCAGGTTTCTGGGCAGACGCGGCGCCTCCGCCGCCGCTCCCACCGCCAGAGGCGCCCCAGGAGCCGGAGCTGCCTGGAGACCAGCACGCGAACGGCCCTGCCGCCGTGGCGGGCAGAGGCGCCCCCGGAGACAGAAACGGAAGAGGCGCCAGAGAAAGCACACGACGAAGAGGCGCCAGAAGAGGCCGAGGCGGCGGAGGAGGAGGAGGAGGAAGCCCGAGCAGCGGCAGCGACGGCGGAAACACGGGCGCGGAGGAGGGAGACGCCAACGACGGCGACAGCAACTCCAGCACCGAGGAGACCGACCACGAGGCCGAACCAGCGCAGGCCCCAGCCCCGAGCAACGGACCCACCGAAGAGTCCTGGGCAGCTCTCGGGAGCATCGACCTCCAACAAGAGCTACGGAGATTCGTGCCGACACTACAGAACGTGCCACGTTTCCTGCGCGCGGAGACCCGGATGGCGTTCACCACGGCCCTGAAGAGGATCAAGCGAGGACACGACCAGGGCAACCAAGCAACAACCCACCAAGGATGGACACTGTTCCTCCTCGCCCCGAGGCTCCTGCTAAGCAAGCCCAAGGGTGCCGACGCCGAGGGCCGACAAGAGCTCTTGGAACGCGCCCAACGGTTCCGCCAGGGCGACTGGCTGGCCCTGCTACACGAGGCCAACACCACGGCCGGCGCGCGCGCAGCGCCGAGGCCAGCCACAGAGGTGCAGCAGCAGGAGAGACGCAGAGAACAGGCTTGCGCGCACGTCCGAAACGGCAACCCGTCACGGGGGAGACAAGTCTTGACCGCGGCGGCGATTGCGCCCGGCAACGGGGAGACACTAAACAGGCTGCGGGACCCGGCCCGCCGACCGCCTACCCTGAGCCGCCGACTACCCGCCAACCTTGACCGCGCAACCGACAGAGCGAGACTCGACAAGACCAAATTCCTCGCTTGCCTCCGGTCCGCCAAAAAGGGCACGGCAGCAGGACCGTCGGGGGTCCGCGTTGAGCACCTCAAGCCGCTGCTGGAACACGAAGAGCCCATGGACCTGCTTGGATTCGCCGCCGCTGCCCTCGCGGAGGCGCGGGTGCCCTCCCCGATTGCCCGTGCTCTAGCCCTCTGCAAGATGACGGCACTCCAGAAACCAGACAACGGAGTACGGGGCATCGCCACTGGCGACGTTTTCCGCCGATTGGTCACCAGGGCGCTCGCTCAACAGTTCGCCGAGCAGCTCGCGGCCGCAACTGCGCCCTTCCAGTTCGCCCTGACGACGCGGGCAGGAACCGACTGCGCCGCCATGCTGCTGAGGTCAGTGCAGGACCACGACGACGACGCAGTGATTGTCAGCATCGATGGAGTCGGGGCTTTCGACCATGTGTCGAGGTCGGCCTTCTTCCAGGAGCTCCTTGCTCGCCCAGAGCTGGCCGGCCTAATCCCCTTCGTGAAGATGTGGCACGGGCAAGACTCCACCTACCTCTGGCAAGACGAAAAGGGGACTGTGCACGACGTGCACCAGGGAGAGGGAGTGGAGCAGGGGGACGCGCTGGCTCCAGCCCTCTTCGCTCTTGCCCTGCACGGAGCGCCGGCGGGCGCCTCCAAGACCTTCGAGCAGGGGGACTTCCTAGTCGCTTTCTTGGACGACGTGTACATCAAGACCACCCGGGCCAGGGCCAGAGCCGCTTTCGACACCACCACCGGAGCAATCCACCTCCACGCAAACGTGGATTGCCACCTTGGCAAGTGCCGGGCTTACAGCAGGGGCGGAGGCGCAGCGCCGCCCGGAATTGGCGAGCTGGGACAAGACGTCTGGAGGGGTGACAGAGCACCACCCGACCGAGGAATCAAGATCCTAGGCACCCCCCTAGGCACCCCAGAATTCGTCGCCGCACACCTGGAGAGCAGACTACAGGAAGAGAGGAGACTCCTGGACGAACTGGCGCACCTGCCCGACCTACAGTGCGCTTGGCTCCTCCTCCTCCTCCTCCTCCTCTGCGCCCCCCCGCGGGCCAACCACCTGCTGCGAACTCTGCCGCCAGAGGAAATCGCAGAATACGCGAGAGGCCACGACGGCGACATGTGGGCCACCCTGCGCCGCCTCCTCGGGGACCCCGCAATGTCGCAAGACGAAGAGCGACGGGCGCGCGCACTGGCAGCAATGCCTGGACGACACGGAGGACTCGGGCTCCAAAGCGCCGCGCGCACGTCCCCAGCGGCCTACTGGGGCGCTTGGGCAGACGCCCTACACATGCTCCACCAACGGCGCCCTGTTGAAGCTGCAGCGATCAGGGACCTCCTCGACGGCACCAGGCCCGGCCGTAGGGGCAACCTTGCCGCAGCCGCCGCGGCCGCACAGCTGCTCGAAACCGAAGGCTTCCGGAGACCCTCCTGGACCGACCTGCTCCAGGGGCTGCGCCCAGAAGCGCCACCGCGCTCGGAGGCCGCCGAACCGGTGGAATGGCAGCACGGCTGGCAGTTCCACGCTTGTTCCGCACGCAACACACACTACAGGGACAACGTGTTCATGCCCAGCCTCACCAGGGCCAACCAGGCCATGCTAAGGTCAGGCTCAGGACCAAGGGCCGCCTACTGGCTTCACACCTTACCCACCACGGAGGGGCACGTGTTCAAGCCCGCGCGGTTCCTGGCAGCCTGGCGCCGGCGCCTCAGGCTCCCGCTGCCGCTCCTCCCGCACACGTGCGGGGCAGCCGGCCACCCAGGCTGCCGGGCCCGGCTGGACACACTGGGAGACCACCTAGCCGCGTGCCCACGCACTGGGCTTCTCGCCAGACGCGCGAAACCGCTCGAACGAGCTTGGGCGAGGGTCGCCAGAGAAGCAGGAGGGAGAGTTGTCCCCCAACAGCTGCTGCGGGACACTAACGCCGTCGTCCACAACCCGCTGGACCGCAGACAATTAGACCTAGTCGTCTACGGCATCTCGCCGAACGGCGTCCCGCTGTGCTGCGACAGCACCATGGTGTCCCCCCTACGCAGGGACGGCTGGCACCGGCCGCGCACCTTCGACACCGACGGCGCCGCGCTACTTGTGGCCGAACGGCGCAAACGACGCAGGTACCACGAACTCACGACCGGCCATTCAGGCCGCCTCATGGTCCTCTCCTGCGAGGTCGGAGGCAGGTGGGGCCGCGACTCCCTCCAGCTAGTACGCCTGCTTGCCAAGCAGAAGGCGCGGGCCGCGCCGGCCCTCCTCCGCCGCTCCGCGGAGCTCGCGTACACCAACCGCTGGTGGGGGTTCCTGAGCGTCGCGGCCCAGGACGCGCTCATGGCCACCCTGACGGGCGACGGCTACCTAGCCTTGGGGGGAGCCGCCGGGGAGGACGACCCAGACCTGGCCGAAGTGCTGCTCGCAGACTCCGCCGGCCCACCCGCTAGCCGCCTGCCATCACGCCCCTGATGCTTGGCACTGCGGCCAGCACGGCCGCCCCGGGGGGCTCCGACGAGCGCCAGGAGCACCCCCGACACGGCAGCGGGCACCACGAGGAGACCAGCAGTACCACCACCACCACAACGGCGACCAGCAGCACCATCGCTTCGACTGCGACCCGCAGCAGAACCACCACCAACACCACCACCACGAGAGCGACCCGCAGCACCACCACGACCACGACCAGGAGCACCACGACTGCGACCAGCAGCACCACGACTGCGACCAGCAGCAGTACCACCACGACTACGACCAGCAGCACCACCACCACCACGACCAGCAGCACCACCAGCACCACCAGCACAAGCAGCACCACCACGACTGCGACCAGCAGCACCACCACGACTACGACAAGCACCACCACGACTGCAACCAGCAGCAGCACCACAACGACCAGCAGCACCACCACCACGACCAGTAGCACCACCAGCACCACCACGACGGCGACCAGCAGCCCCACGACTGCGACCAGCAGCGCCACGACTGCGACCAGCAGCACCACGACTGCGACCAGCAGCAGCACCAGCACGACTGCGACCAGCAGCACCACCACCACGACAGCGACCCGCAGCACCACCACGACCACGACCACGACCAGCAGCACCACGACAGCGACCAGCAACACCACGACTGCAACCGGGAGCAGCAGCACCGAGACAGCGACCAGCAGCACCACCACGACCAGCACCACCAGCACAACCAGCACTACCACGACTGCGACCAGCAGCACCACCACCACTACGACCAGCACCACCACGACAACGACCAGCACCACGACTGCTACCAGCAGCACGACGACAGCGACCAGCAGCAGCACCACCACGACTACGACCAGCAGCAGCACCACCACCACGACCAGCAGCACCACTAGCACAAGCAGCACCACCACGACTGCGACCAGCAGCACAACCACGACTACGACCAGCACCGCCACGACTGCAACCAGCAGCAGCACCACAACGACCAGCAGCACCACCACCACGACCAGCAGCACCACCAGCACCACTACGACGGCGACCAGCAGCCCCACGACTGCGACCAGCAGCACCACGACTGCGACCAGCAGCACCACGACTGCGACCAGAAGCAGCACCACCACGACTGCGACCAGCAGCGCCACCACCACGACAGCGACCCGCAGCACCACCACGACCACGACCAGCAGCACCACGACCACCACGACCAGCAGCACCACCAGCACCACTAGCACAAGCAGCACCACCACGACTGCGACCAGCAGCAGCACCACGACTACGACCAGCACCGCCACGACTGCAACCAGCAGCAGCACCACCAGTAGCACCGCCAGCACCACCACGACGGCGACCAGGAGCCCCACGACCGCGACCAGCAGCGCCACGACTGCGACCAGCAGCACCACCACCACGACAGCGACCCGCAGCACCACCACGACCACGACCAGGAGCACCACGGCTGCGACCAGCAGCACGACGCCTGCGACCAGCAGCATCACCACGACTACGACCAGCAGCACCACCACCACCACCACGACCAGCAGCACCACCAGCACCACCAACACAACCAGCACTACCACGACTGCGACCAGCAGCACCACCACGACTACGACCAGCACCACTACGACTGCAACCAGCAGCAGCACCACAACGACCAGCAGCACCACCACCACGACCAGCAGCACCAGCAGCACCACCACGACGGCGACCAGCAGCCCCACGACTGCGACCAACAGCGCCACGACTGCGACCAGCAGCACCACGACTGAGACCAGCAGCAGCAGCAGCACCACCACGACTGCGACCAGCAGCACCACCACCACGACAGCGACCCACAGCACCACCACGACCACGACCACGACCAGCAGCACCACGACAGCGACCAGCACCACTACGACTGCAACCAGCAGCAGCACCACAACGACCAGCAGCACCACCACCACGACCAGCAGCACCAGCAGCACCACCACGACGGCGACCAGCAGCCCCACGACTGCGACCAACAGCGCCACGACTGCGACCAGCAGCACCACGACTGAGACCAGCAGCAGCAGCAGCACCACCACGACTGCGACCAGCAGCACCACCACCACGACAGCGACCCACAGCACCACCACGACCACGACCACGACCAGCAGCACCACGACAGCGACCAGCAGCACCACGACTGCAACTGGGAGCAGCAGTACCGAGACTGCGAACAGCAGCACCGCCACGACCAGCATCACCAGCACAACCAGCACTACCACTACCACGACTGCGACCAGCAGCACCACCACCACTACGACCAGCACCACCACGACTGCGACCAGCAGCAGCACCACTGAGACCAGCAGCACCACCACGACCAGCAGCACCACCAGCACCAACACGACGGCGACCAGCAGCCCTACGACTGTGGCCAACAGCGCCACGACTGCGACCAGCAGCACCACGACTGCGACCAGCAGCAGCACCACCACGACAACGACCAGCAGTACCACCACTACGACCGCGACCCGCAGCACCACTACGACCACGACCAGCAACACCACGACTGCGACCAGCAGCGCCACGACCGCAACCGGGAGCAGCAGCACCGAGACTGCGACCAGCAGCACCACCACGACGAGCACCACCAGCACAACCAGCAATACCACGACTGCGACCAGCAGCACCACCACGACTACAACCAGCACCACCACGACAGCGACCAGCAGCAGCACCACCACGACCAGCAGCAGCACCACCTCGACCGCGACCAGCAGCACCACCACGACTGCTACCAGCAGCCCCACGACTGCCACCAGCAACACCACGACCACGACCAGCAGCAGCACCACCACGACTGCCACCAGCAGCTCCACCACCACGGCCAACAGCACCACCAGCACCACCAGCACAACCAGCACCACCACGACGGCGACCAGCAGCACCACTACTACTACGACTAGCACCACCACGACAAGCAGCACCACCACAACCGCGACCAGCAGCACCAACACCACGACTGCGACCAGCAGCACCAAAACTGCGACCAGCAACACCACGACTGCAACCAGCAGCAGCACCACCACGACTGCGACCAGCAGCAGCAGCACCACCACCACCACCACCAAAACCAGCACCACCAGCATAACCAGCACCACCACGACTGCGACCACCAACACCACCACGACTACGACTCGCAGCACCACGACTGCGACCAGCAGCAGCACTACCACGACCGCAAACAGCAGCAGCACCACCAACACGACCACGACCAGCAGCAGCACCACCACGACTGCGACCAGCACCAATTCCGACCGGCAACACGACCCCCAGCAAGGACGGGCACCACCTGCAACGACCAGCAGCAACGACGCGCACCTGCACGACGACGCGCGCCGACGACGCCCACCGCCCCTTGCCCTCGCCTTTCCCTCGGCCTCTGTCCCCTCGTCTCGGTCCTGTCTCGTTCGCCCCCTGCCCCCGCGTCGTTCGCCCCTCGCCGTTCGGGCCCGGCTCGTGCCCCTCGCCCCCTCGTCCTCCGCCCCCCGCCCGCCCCACCCCCGCCTGGAGTCCAGACCCAGCCGCGCCTGCGAGACAAGAGAGCAGTGGCAGCAGGCTATGGCGCTGCTGATTCCCAAACTGGGGCCCAACGTCGTCAGTTGCATCGCTGGGGCCAGCGCACGTGCGAAAAATGGGCAGCGGCAGTGGCAGCGAGCCAGGGAGGAGAGCGAGGCGGCAGAGGAGGAGATAGAAGAGGAGGAGAAGGCAGCAGACGAGCAGGACCAGGTCGAGGAGGAGGAGGAGGAGGAGGAGGAGGAGGCGAAGATAATCGCGCTCGACGTCAGCGGGAAGCGGCAGCGAGCCAGGGAGTCAGGACGTGGAGGGGGAGGAGGAAAGGAGGTGACGGTGTGGCGATGCCAAGAGTTCATCAGCTATAGCTCTGGGATCAGCGCGTGCGCGAAAGACGAGCAGTGGCAGCGGGCTCTATCACTGCTCAGCGGGATGCGGGAAGTGAGGTTGGAGCCGACTGACATCAGCTACAACTCTGGGATCAGCGCGTGTGCGAACGGCGAGCAGTGGCAGCAGGCTCTCCCACTGCTCAGCGAGATGCGGGAGGCGAAGGTGGAGCCAAGCGTCATCAGCTACAGCTATGGGATCAGCGCGTGCGCGAAAGACGAGCAGTGGAGGCGGGCTTTATCGCTGCTCTGCGAGATGTGGGAAGTGAGGTTGGAGCCAGATGCCATCAGCTACAACTCTGGGATCAGCCCTGGGATCAGCGCGTGCACGAACGGCGAGCAGTGGCAGCAGGCCCCCCCACTGCTCAGCGAGATGCGGGAGGCGAAGGCGGAGCCAAGTGTCGTCAGCTACAGCTCTGGGACCAGGCGCGTGCACGAACGGCGAGCAGTGGCAGCAGGCTCCCCCACTGCTCCGCGACATTTGGGAAATGAGTTTGGAGCCAGATGCCATCAGCTACAACTCTGGGATCAGCGCGTGCGCGAACGGCGAGCAGTGGCAGCGGGATCTCTTCTGCTCAGCGAGATGCGGGAGGCGAAGGTGGAGCCAAGCGTCATCAGCTACAGCTCTGGGATCAGCGCATGCGCGAAAGGCGAGCAGAGGCAGCGGGCTCTCTCACTGCCCAGCGAGATGCGGGAGGCGAAGGCGGAGCCAAGTGACATCAGCTATAGCTCTGGGATCAGCGCGTGCGCGAAAGACGAGCAGTGGCAGCGGTCTCTATCACTGCTCAGCGGGATGTGGGAAGTGAGGTTGGAGCCGAATGTCATCAGCTACAACTATGGGATCAGCGCGTGCGCGAAAGGCGAGCAGTGGAGGCGGGCTGTATAGCTGCTCTGCGAGATGCGGGAAGTGAGGTTGGAGCCGGATGCCATCAGCTACAACTCTGGGATCAGCCCTGGGATCAGCGCGTGTACGAACAGCGAGCAGTGGCAGCAGGCCCCCCCACTGCTCAGCGAGATGCGGGAGGCGAAGGTGG